CCCTTCCCTGACTCATGCCACACCAGACTGGGTCTGACCTGCTACAATAGAATATACCCCTGGAGGATCAGATGAGGTACCTGGCTTACAGTGAAAAAACAAGGAGCTGAACTGAACCTGGCCAGTTTATTTTTTTTTAATATATTTTTTATTGATTTCAGAGAGGAAAAGAGAGGGAGAGCAAGATAGAAACATAATGATGAGAGAGAATCATTGATTGGCTGCCTTCTGCACACCCCCTAGTGGGGATCGTGCCTGCAACCCAGGCATGTGTCCTGACCAGAATCGAACCATGACCTCCTGGGTCATAGGTCAGCGCTCAACACTGAGCCGTGCCAGCTGGACTCAAACACTATTTTACATAAGAAGGCACACAGTTAGTAGGTCAATACACTACAAACACATGCTAACTTTCTCTGTTTCATTACAGCAAATTCTTCATCATTCTAGAGAAAATGCGACAAAAGTTATATTTCTCATCACTGACGGCTATTCCAATGGGGGAGATCCTAGGCCAGTTGCAGCAATGCTGCGAGATTTTGGAGTGGAGATCTTCACTTTTGGCATATGGCAAGGGAACATTCGAGAGCTGAATGACATGGCTTCTCCCCCAAAGGAGGAGCACTGCTACCTGCTCCACAGTTTTGAAGAATTTGAGGCTTTAGCTCGCCGGGCATTGCACGAAGGTAATGGAAACCTAGTGGCATAGGATGATGCATTTAAACGGGGTTTCTTTATCTCTTACAGCTTGAAACCCACTAGAGCAGTGATGGCGAACCTTTTGAGCTCGGCGTGTCAGCATTTTGAAAACCCTAACTTAACTCTGGTGCCGTGTCACATGTAGAAATTTTTCGATATTTGCAACCATAGTAAAACAAAGATTTATATTTTTGATATTTATTTTATATATTTAAATGCATTTAACAAAGAAAAATCAACCAAAAAAGTGAGCTCGCGTGTCACCTCTGACACACGTGTCATCGGTTCGCCATCACTGCACTAGAGAGTAATATCAAACCCTATGAAGTCCTCGCCAAGCATGATGCCCAGGTGTCCTTGGTGTGTTATGAGATGTGTTGAACTTCATACACAGAGATGGCACTCTGACCTTGCAACAACAGTATCTGTTTTGTTTTTTAACAGCTGTGATATATTTTCACTAAAATATCCATATGCTCCCACCAGGAACCATTAGAATCAATGGAATGCATTTAGGTGTGTGTCGAGGCCACACACAGAGTGGGAAGCCTTGACTTAGATCTCATTTACAGTTACCCGGAGAGATGAAGTAAACATTCAGAGATATGCCTAGTGAATCTCACCAGAATGTTTCCAGAAATACACATGAAGATATTGGGGCAGTAAATGCTTAATGCATACTTCTTGATCTGACAGTTTGAAGATGCATGAACTATGTGAAAGCTGAAGACCATTGCCCCAGCAGAAAATAAGATCAGTAAATCCACTCATTAGAACTCTTTGTACACATTTATAAAGATGATTAGTTGTATGGTTTAAGTTAGATGAACCTCCAGGCAAAACATGGGCATGGGTCTTGGTGAGCAACAGAGAAAGTGTGGACTCTGAGGAAATGACAGGAGATCTGGCCTCGGACCGAAGCCATGTGGCAGATAAGTATGATCCTGGCAGGTATCCGTGTGAAAGATTCGTTTTGATGGGCACATCACAGCAACATGAGATTTTAAGCAATTAGGGATGTTTATAATAAGCAGATCAGCCCCACTGTCATTCCAAGGGACGAGTCCAGGGCAAGACCTCAGGCTAGCTGTGGACACAGCAAAAAATTCCACTTAGCCATCCACTAGCTGAGTGGCTCTTGGCAAATTATTTCACTTCTGAACTCCCTAAGTTTCTTGTTATAAACTAGGGAATGAGAATAGTACCTACTACATCGGATTGCTTCAAAAGTTAAATGGGTTCATACATACGAAATTATTTTTAATGATACTGAGCGCCTATGATACTAAGCCCTCAATAACTATCCTTTATTATTACCTTAAGCAATTTATCTAACATCTATGAGTTTCAGTTTCCTCTATTTTTAAAATACTGTAATATTTAACAGAATTTTATCAGGAGGATTGCATGAACTATTTAAAATTTCATCAAGGATACTGTTCAGCACATGGCAGTTCAGTAACTGGGGTTTTTCTTCATGTCTCTTTTACATAAAACTTAATGATTTACTTAAAGTTGAGAGGCAAACCAGATCCTGCTTCTATTATTTAACTTGTTGTGGTACCGTTATTTAAATCTTTAATCCAGTGATTATACAAGTGGTGGAATTAATCCTTTAGTTAGTAGCTCACAGCAACACCCTCAGCGGTCAGGGTTGTAGTTCATGTATTTGGACAAGGATTTTGGAAATACTGAAGCAGCGGAGCACTGCTGGGTGGACCGACTGCTTTACTTCCTGCCGCATCTGGAGATTCCTCCCTGAAGTACTTAATATCTGCCTGACCCCATGTGGCCTCCAGAACTTGTGATGAGGTCCCGGACCGAAATAACTGGCCGAAACAAATCCCCAGTCTGTGGTAGTGCAAGTAACACAATTTCATATTTGGGTGGGAGTGGGGAACAGTTGGGAATTTGACAGATATGAAAAGATATTTTCTCCAGCTTGCACTTACATCTAACTAGAGCTGTAGCATTCAACCGTTAATTCATTTTTTTTTATTTCCCTCTATCATGGGTAGATCTGCCTTCTGGGAGTTTCATTCAAGAGGATATGTCTCATTGCTCACATCTGTGTGAAGCCGGCAGAGACTGCTGTGACCGAATGGCTAGCTGCAAATGTGGGACACACACAGGTCAATTTGAATGCGTCTGTGAAAAGGGATATTACGGGGAAGGCCTGCAGTATGAGTGCACAGGTGAGTCTCCAGTTTGTGTCTAACTCTGTTCTCTGTTGCCACGTAAACAATGATCCCCAAACTCAAAGGTTTCAGACTTACTGCTCATGAGTTAGCTGGGCAGCCCTTTCGGTCTCGGCGTGTCAACTCATGCATGTGATGAGCTGTGAGTTGGGTAGGCTGTGTGGCTGATCTTAGCTGGTTCTCTTAGCTGGCTGGAGTCTGGTCTAAAATGGGATTGTGTAGGACCACTAGGTGGTCCTTTAGGTGGCCCTTCAGACTCCATCACACCAGCCTGGTGTGTCCATGTGGTGGCAGAATTCCAAGGGGAAGAATGGAAGCTTGCAAAGCCCCTTGAAGCCCAGGTTCAGAACTGGGAAGGGAGGATGTGGGGTGCCTTGTTTGTAATCAGCCAACAGCCAAAACTGTCCTCAAAGCACATAAACCAAAATACGCCTCAGTCTCTGTATGAGATGGAAGCCAGTGGGATTCTTGTCCGCAGGCCCCATGAACTCGTGGGATTGTCACAGAAAAGTGTAACATTCACTTGATGGTACTTTAGCTCTTCTCAAGCCTCCGTAAAGGGATTTCGGAAAGCTCTAAAAGTGCTGTCACTCCAACATGGAATTCACTTCATTGATATTTGTAATTTTACCTCCTCTAGCTTTCTTTACCAGAGGCTCTTGATATTTTAAATATTTTCTCAGAAAGGCAAGAAGAGCAATGTAGGATTCCTGTGTCCTTCATTATATTTTAGGAAATATCTGGTATTTAGAAGTAGTATATAGTTTTTCTATGATAGCATTTTGTTTGTTCTTTTTTTTTTTTTTTACCTAAAAAGCAACATGATTTTTTAATAAGTTTCAGCTCTTCCATGATTTGATGTTTGGGAAAAGTGTATTTCCGTGGAAATTAACATGCACCAGGAACACAGTAGGTTTACTTTATACTATACCACGTGGTCTGTCATTGCTTGGCCATGTGGACATTGCTCTGACATTTGGAAGGTAGGCCTTCTGCCGCACAGAAGCGTGGCCCTCCCTTCTCCACCTGACCTGGCTTTCTCTTTCTTCTTCTCCTCGTAGGCCGTTTCCTCTTGTGCTCTTCTTTTCCTCGCATTAATCTTGCTGCCCCTCTTCCTCCTCCCTCAATTTCCCCTCCCTTCCCTGGGCCTGATCCCAGCTGGCAGATGCATCCTTCCTGGGTCCACCATCCTCCACTCTACCCC